TTTAGAAATTTAGTTTTTTGCCCTTATGTGCATTATTAAAATAAACATAGTTTTAATTTCAGTTTGTCTTTAGTTTTATTTCCAGTATAAATAAATATAATTAATGCATAAATAATGAAGATTTTATTTATTCATAAATAATCTACAAAAAATGAAACGACACAAAAGTAAAGTGAAAAAGAATAAAGTTACAAATAAATACAGAAAATGATATAAAAATTCATTTCAGACTAAATTTATTTAAAATATTTTGAATATATTGTGAATTATTAAGTATTTGTTTTCATTCATTCACTCATTCATTTATTTTCTGCAGGTTTGGTTCTCCACATTTTAGTGCTTCAACTTCAACTCATTTGCAAAGTCAACATTTCTATTTTTTATGTAGTTTTAAGTTTTCATCTAATATTTAGATTTAATTTCAGCTTTATTTCAATGAACACAAGTAGCTGTAGTTGCCAATAATAAGCCAGTACAGTACACGCGTCTCTCGTCTCGTTTATTGTACACTAGCGTATGAAAGCAGAGTGGTCCTCATGAAGTGTGCTTGAAGAACAGTCTCAAGGTGTTGCTGTAGATGGTTTCAGCGAGGTCCAGTGGATCTTCTTCCCTGACGGCAGCCATCACCTCCAGCACCTGTCTGATATCAAACACACGACCGCTATCAGAGCGTCTGAAACACACACACACACTCACTCACTCACACACACACGCACGCACAGACTCACACACACACGCACACACACTCGCGCACACACGCTTACACACTCACGCACACACGCACACACACACAGACTCACACACGCACGCACAGACTCACTCACGCACACACGCTTACACACACACGCACACACACTCGCGCACACACGCTTACACACACACGCTTACACACACACGCACACACACTCGCGCACACACGCTTACACACACACGCTTACACACACACGCACACACACTCGCGCACACACGCTTACACACACACGCTTACACACACACGCACACACACTCGCGCACACACGCTTACACACACACGCTTACACACACACGCACACACACTCGCGCACACACGCTTACACACACACGCACACACGCACACACACTCACACACGCACGCACACACACTCACACACACACACACACACACACACACACTCACAC